AAATCAACAAATAATATGAAAATTCAAAATATTAAATTTACCGCTACAAGCGAAATAAGATATTTATTATTTCTATCAAATTTATATGTATATATATTCTCCAAATTTACAATCGAACACAAAAGATGATAAGTGAGAAAAAGGTCATATAATATAAGATAAATATCATTGTACTCAGAATGATTACTTCATTTTGAGGGCAAACTGTTACCTTACATCATTTTATTCATGTGATCAGTAGATAATAAGGTCATTAAAAGTGTAGAATATGAAATTGTATTCTAAGAGAAATATATGAATAAAGAGATAGGAAGAGGGTTTGATTGGATGTATTGATTATTTCTATCAAATAGATTCTTTTTTTTGTATAGTTTTGATAATTGTTTCAAAATTGATGATAAAGTATTTGATAAAGTCTGTACAGGTATACAAATAAACGTATTAAAAATAGTTCTTTGGTGAACCAATTGTTTTAAGACTCAATATCATTATTGAGATTAATTGATTATCTATGACTAAATAATTGTTTTATAAACAGATTTTATTGTTTTCAAACAAACCAGACTATCAATTTATATGTGTGTGCGGAAATACGTACATAGGGAGGAGCAGCCATGATCTGCAAGAAAGGGTGGTGGAACACATACCAAAATAGCTGCAGAAACAAATGAGTTCCAATGGTCAAATAAGATCACAGGATAGATATCTTCCTCCGTTAAGAAACATTTAGTTGAGATTGGTCATAAGGTTGATATCAAGTCAGCATTTGTAGTGTTGTACAAGAGCCTTCAAGGATGTATACTAAGGTTTATTGAAACCTTGGCTATGCGAAAACTGAAACACCCTTCACGTATTCGAAAACAATTAGTTCTTACCCTTAATCTAGCCTGGCAATACTGATTTATTATCCAGAGTGGTTATCACATTGTTTTTGTGTACTTTATTTTTTTGTTACGGTTTACCTTTAACCTGTCTTGTTGACCTTTTTGTTTTCATATGAAAATGTCTTAACAAGTATGTGTGTGATCAGATTGTTCGAAATGCACTGCGCAAATATGTCACATAATTGTGATAATCTTTGTCTTCTCATTGCATTATCGAAACCAGACTATCTTAGATAAATGACACTATGAATAATACTAAAGTTATCACAATTTTAATTTTAGCTAATTGTAACCGTTAATCTGATTTGCTTGTTTATGAGACTTTTGCTAAATACTCAACTTCATGAAATCATAACCATGGTTCTCTCTATTAATTTGGAAAAAGATTAGAAATGAGAGTTTGTGCTAAATAGCATAAATTCAATTATTTCATTGATCGACCACAAATTCCAAATTATACATCATGTTACGCAAAAATTCATTGACATAATGTAAAATTCTGTGAGTTGTGTCACTTAGAATAATCAACACTTAGTAAAACAGTCAAAACATCTTAAAAACGAGTATCCACGAGGGTCCTATAATATTTTTGAGAAACGGATCACTAGTATGACCCTGTTCGACATTTGTGCTAATATTATCACTACGCTTACTAATTCAGTTCCAATGACTAGGATAGTTTAGAATGTAAAAAAACGACAATCTACTGAATGCTACTAACAAACTACTGAAGGTTCAAACACTGAAGATATTGTTCCTTTGAAATAATCTAAATGTTGTTTTGCCACAACTCCTCATAAAAAAAACGATGGCCAAAATATGAAAACAACTTTCTGACATGAAAATAACGAACAGTGAATTAGGAATAGTAACCGAATGCCTTAATCTTACCTATTTTACCTGAATTATAAACATGTCTAATGAATCGTTCGATTTGTGCACATAACTTAATTTTTCGGAGTAGTAACTGCATTTCTACAATACGGATTAGTGACTCACCATTTATCACGAGAACACGACTGGTTTAATAGAAACAATTCTTATTATAACCAACTGTACCAGTGTTTGTTTTAATGTGCTTTTGTTTGACTGTGCTAATGACAGCTATATTTTGCTCCCATTCTTATACACACACTGTGATTGTATCTTCGCGCGAATTCGGTTACGTTCTGTAACCAAGCTTGTATCCTGGCACGATCTCGGTATCCTTTCGATACCACGAGATCGCCAGCAAATATATATCTCGACTTGGTCCATTACTTGCCTTCTGGTATTTGGCTTCTCGGGGATTTTATGGGTTTCTTTGGTTACGTCCAACCCTCGCCTTCTGATTCGCTTGGCACGTGTTTCTTGGTAGCGGTGTTCATAGTTAATCTCAACTCGACACCACGCTACAACAGTATCAACAGTATCAGTTAAAGTGTCACATACTAAGAAATTTTTCAAAGAAATAAGTTAATCTGTTATGAGAAGTTTGTCACTAATTCATCTGGTAGGCCAACCATCTTTAGTATGTTGGATTACTAAAATGACAAGAATTGTGACAAGAATAACAACATCCTAATTCTACTTCTAATTTTTGGTTTGCTTAAACTAATCATGTGAATATCACACTTTGCTATATCATCGCTTTTATGGGTGTTAAAATCTCAGTGCTTGACCACACGTTTTACACCATATTAACGTGAACAATAATAATCTTAAAAAATCAAGCATCTACAGCCATTTGTCGACCCTGAAATTTCATTCGCTTCCATTATGAGTATCTGCATTTAATTTTGGATGCATTATATAACTAACTACTTATTTTAACGCTAAACCAAAAGTACACATGTTTCAGTCATTAGCATGAGACGACAAATCAACAGACGATCTGAGTACATGTAGATGGAATTAGCAGATCTAATGATCAATTGCTTTTCTTCTCCTCAGCTTAAAAACAGAGTAAACTAAAAACGTAAGGAAAAGTAATAGATAGACTAGTCAAATGATCGATAAATAGACATACTTACAGAAGTATAAATAAAAACAAAAAATAAGCATAAGGGTTTTAAAACGACTAGCTAATCACATGTTTTCTGAATTATCGCCAATTGTCCAAAAGTAGGAATAAGTTTACGTGGGTATAGTACAAACAATACACGTCTGTTCGAAAGCCTTAAGTCTTAATAGGTTAAGAGACCTCTGGATTATTTACATTGAAGACATTACTAGGTTTAGCGAAAGAAGTTTTATTTCGGGAGTTGTATTTCCTTTATTACCTCTAGAATTACTATACAATTTATCTTATCTGTTTCTGAAATCCACCACCTTGGTTCTAACACCTGATAACCTCTGAACTGTTCTTGCATATATATATCATTGATGACCTCTGTCATTCCAATCCTTTGATGATGTCACAGGTATTCAGTGTTTGACAACGCTTCTACCAGTAACACCTTCTAATGTATTTCGTTCCCACCCAGAGAAATCAAAAGACAGAGTCGAGGAGATCGGAAGAGTATATTTGGCGATGACCAATATATCGGAATTCTCTGATCTAATCTGGCTAGCGATTGCGGTTGATGTTGAGCACAGCGTTACCACACGTGATCTGGGGCGGATGCCTGACCGAGCGCCTTCAGCTAGATGAGTCCACTAAAACATATGATCAGCATCCAATGTCGAAAACTTAGAGCTATTTATTTTGGGGATTTATTTACCGCTACACCTTAATATTCATTTATGTAAATTGTTCCATACAATTTCTTACCTCAATGTAAAGTTCTAATACATATTTGGTTATAAGAAGCTGACGAGAAATCACGAAATATAATGAATTCATATTATTCTGCATCAATATTTGTTCTGGCTTTATTTAAATTCATGGTGTTATCTCATGGTTTCCGACTGAGCATGATATACTTGCAGCAGTTTATAAACTCCCGAAGTAAATGGTTCAGTTAGTATTCGACATTGGTGCTAGCTGGAGGCGCTCGGTCACGCATCCGCACCAGATTACGAGTGAGTACGCCGTGACATCACTCACAACTGGTGGTCAGATTAGACCAAACGCTTTTCGATAAATTGGTAGCTTTCCGAACATATATTCGAACCTATTCACTCTTCACTTATGATTTCACTGAGTCCGTATTTTTCAATTATACAGGTGTCACGTGTAAAGGTGTTATCAAACTTCAACTCCCCGTGGCGATGGAAATTGACACAATTATGTTTAACCGAAATTGACATATAAGCCTCAACTGGGTATGATTACACAATTGCCTAGGCTAAGGTTTATCATCTAGTGTCAGCTCACCTTAATCATCCTTGGCTCTTGTGTGATTCGGTGGACTGTTCAACATTCAGTCATAAGCCTACTAATTCATAACTGTGTTTAGCGTGACAAGTAGTTTCAGTTTCAGTTTGGGAAGGACAGGAGGCTCGATGGCCTATGTTAGTCCTGGCAATGGTGGTCTCTCAGTTGATCCAACTTTCTTTTGAAAGAGTCGACGGATGGAGCCTCAACCACGTGCTGAGGTAGTGAATTCCACTCGTTGATGATTCGATGGGAAAGTCGATAGTCAGCTGACAAGTAATTTGTTCTCGGCTTATGAACTTTTTTGGAGTGTCCTCGTAAATTCTCTGTTTTGGAAGACAAGAAAAATGAGGGCATGTTAGGTGCGAATTTATCACTAAGCAATTTGTAGACTGTAATCAAGTCGCCTTTAGTTCTGCGATATGACAACGGGAAAAGGTTCAGCTTGGTCAGAAATATTTCTCTAGCTGTTGAAATGTGCTTAGTATAAATATCGCTACGTCACGCTCGAGGATACAACACTAATTCTAATGGTCTTAAAATGTTTAAGCCCATTATTTCTATCTATTACCTCATTTTTACAGCTTTATTTCGCAAGTGAAATTAACTTGAAAAAAATCAACGAACACACGAAAATGTTTAATTACATTCAAAAAATCCTAGTTTGGAATAACTCGTCATAAAGATTAATAATACCGGAAATATATTGGAACCTTAATTTATGATCAGCGCTTGATTTACTATAAGCGCAACTGTATAATTTCAATGGATTACCATTCGAATTGGTCGAGGAGTTATCTCCAGTAAAACCAAATGTAATGAAAGCGTTGATTTATTCCTTGCTTGCATACATTTTGTTGGACGCAAATGTCTTGGCAGTTTTGCTGGTTGTATGTCACAGTGTTTTGTACTTAGTAGTTTGTAGAAAGACCTCTCATCAGGAATTGTTGACGAGTTTGAGGATTCGGAAGCACTTTTTGGTGGAGCAGTTTCTCAGGAGTCCTTAATACTGGTTAGCTTGGTTTAGTTCCTTCCACATTTGCAGGGACGAATTTATGCATCCAAACCACTAGAAGGCTGTGTGGACCGAATTCCCAAACCTAAAGATGATCACAATTCAACTCTTCCTTACATCTCACTCATCAAACGTGGAGATTGCTCTTTTGTAGATAAGGCTTTAGCGGCCGAAAGAGGTGGATATATTGCAACTGTTATTTTCAATGATGTGGACGACAGTACTTTCCCAATGGGTTACAATTCGTGTAAGGTTTCTCACCTCTCATCTTTTCGTTGGTAGCCACAAATGTCAGTATTCCTGTCGTAATGGTTGGTTTGTCTGACGGCGAGCTCCTACTAAATAAGTACTGCGTACCACAGTAAGTTGTATGTTAGTTTATTAATTATGGATTCGAAGCTTCATATTTCTTGAATCTATTTTATAGGTGCTTTATTTGCAGGCGAGTAAAGCTGATACATTCCGACTTGCTTTTCCGTTTAAAGATGTTTACTTTGCCTTTCCATTTAGTACTCGTTCATATATCTGTTTGATGACTGTTTCTGACATGTGAAATTTCGGTTTGGAGGACTTTTCGTTTAATTAAAGCAGATTACTTACTACTTACTTCACTAACGCTTATTAGATTTATAGGTTAGACTAGAAGTCTCCTGAAAATTATCAAACTTTCTGTGTTAGTACCCTTACGGGAGGTATTATGCTCCTCAAATTTGTTTTTAACTCGAAAAGTAGTGCAAAAGTATTTAGGTTTTGAGTAGCTTTGAACTTTTCTATACAAATTTGTATTTAATACAGTTATTTAGTAGGTAAATCGCCTAGGAGTGGAAAATCGTTTATAATTACTTATTGTACTAGCATGTAACAGTTAGGATTTCACATGCAGTTCGATTACATGAATCTGTGGTACACCAACATTCCTACTTGGTTACCTACAACTACTAAACGGTTTCATACTAACAAGTGGCCAGGTCAGTGAGGATACATTTCAGATAAGTGTAAGGAAAATCATATGATAGGTATTGACAGCAACGAGTCAAATCTATTGTCGACAAAGCAATGTGCCAGTCTGTTGCAAAGAAATTCTATTGGATTACTTTTATCGAAAGTTCGTGGCGATGATGCTGAAAAAGAATCGTTACCACTACCTTAACAGTGTAATCGAGTTTTCCTATCGTGATGAATCAATCGGGCTATACTGGATGAAGCAGTCGTTCCTCAGGGCCCTACCATGCCAGACAGGTCAGCTAAAAAGCGGCAAGACCAAAAGTAACAAAACTATGGGATAATTCGTACTGCTGGCTGTACAGAGGTATGACGGCCATAAGGTGTCTCTCTTGGACAACCATCATAATAGAGATGCTGCCTTCCCACAAAGGAAGAGTGAAGTTGAAAAAGGTTGGTGCAAAAAATGCACACCTCGCATTATCCTACGGATTTCCATCTCCAGCGGTAAGGTCTCAACAAGTACGAAACTGACACGAAAATAGTTCACAAAATGGTCGTGTGCAGCCGGTCTCTAGCAGTTGTCCCTTGGGCACTGCGGTCACGCTCTCAGGTCACTAAGAATAACTCGAACCCAATTTCACTTTCGGGTACCTGTAGAAGAACCTTTTCACGGTATGGGCAATCAAGAATTTATAACCGCCCTCATACCTCTCACAGGCCAGCAGGCCTCCTCCGCTAGGACCCTAGAATCTCATTCGATTGACGTACACTCTCCAAACCACGCATACAGGATCCTAGTGTGGTCATTCTCTTGACCTCATCTCGCCAAAACGGAGGACCGACGAGGTACACCCTCCGTGTATCTGGCGATCCGATGGCTAGTTCTCGTGAACTGACCGGTGTAGGCATAGCACTAAGGATGAAGGTAGAACAACACCATCGATATGGATTTCCGTTAACAGTCGTCCATGTGCTGTTCGGATAAACGGCTCCGTAAGAAGTCAGAAGGATAGGGACAGACGTCGTTGCGTTTTGATAATTTCTGCCTATTCTCCCCCTGACTGCAGCCAGGATGAAGTAAAAGGTGGGTTTTACAAAAAGTTTTCTGAACTTCTTCAAAAAAGCTAAACACTCAGACATAGTATTCGTAGCAGGTGACTTTAATGCCCAAGTTGATAGCTTGAACCAAGCAGAAATACATTTAGATGGACGTTTTAGTGTTCTGGCTCACCATACAAATAATGGTGACCGTCTTCTGTCCACTATCTCCATTTTCGTTTGACTTCATCATAGACATACTGGTGGAAACAACGTTCTCATCGTCTGAGTTTGATATTTCCCAACTTACGTCACCTGTAGTGAAAACGAGATATCCGTTTATCAATTAAAGGACGAGTATATTGCACAGCAGTTCGTTCTATTTTACTTTATGGCTTCGAAACGTGGCCATTAAGGGTAGAGGATACTCATAAGTTAGTGGTATTTGATCACAGAAGTCTTATAAATATTCCTCAAATCTGCTGGGATCACTGGGCAATAGTGAGGTTAGATGCAATGTATTAGATATTGATGGTAATCAGTTGATGAGTTTGTAAATCTTCATCGACTGAGATGGTTTGGCCAGATCTAACACATGCGCAACCACCGATTACCACGGCGCGCAATGCTGACTAGTTACTACTGGTCTAAGTCATGTTGATAGATGCAGACTACTTGGTTGGGGTCCGCGTGACTATCGCAACTAGTGATTAGAGACTGTGGGTAACATGGATCAAAATCGATCGCAATGGTGTAGGTGCATACACCCTTTGTTTTCCTTCAAACTGTGAGATAAAAATTGCTTTATACCTTTCTACGAATTAATTATTTTTCCCTGTATTATACCCTTATATGCAATCTTTTTTACTATCATTGAAGTAACTGCTTTAGTGAATTTGGTGTTCATCTTGTTGTGCTGACGAGGTGTGGCAACTTGGACCAGTGCATATATATATCCTGTCTTATGTTGACTGACAATGATAGACCATCCAGTTCAAAAAATACAACTTAATCAAAAAGCATTTCCTGAAATACACCACGTCAAGCTATAAGTCGATCGAATGCTTTTTTACAAGACCACATGCATTGTTCATTATTATTATTATTATTAATGGCTTTATTCAATATTATCTTTTTGGTACAATATAGAATTCTCAGCACAAATGTATCGTGAAAGATACAACTGTTATCCTAATCAGTACTGTAGTCACTGTAGCCATATTTGGCTAGATCTTTATGAGTCTCTTTACAGCAAAACATTTCTTATGGCAGTTGATCCATATAACGGGAGCTCGACAATTTTCTTGATGAAACACTCAACCATAGTTTCTTCTGAAAGAAGCTGTCAAATCTATCCAGTTACTTCGGATATCAGGAAGCAACTGAACCAAGCAAGATAGAGTAGTCTGTGAAGCATTAATTAGCCTATCACAGTGTTTGTAGCAGTTAGCAAGATTTATTACCGAATACCACTAGATATTTTATTAGATACTAGCATCATACGAAAAATAAACCTAAATTTTTACTGATAAGGAACATCGGTTTGATGGTATGACACTTGACACTCAGCCACTAGGTCCCAATATAACTATATGTTACTCTTCCTAAATGTTTCAAGATTCTAATGGATAATGACTTATTTTATTTACACTTTACTCTCTCACTATTCTATCTGTGGATTAAATCAATAAGTATGCAGTTCGTATTTTTGATGTATTTGTAGTTATTTTGTTGAAATACTACCTGCTCATCGCCGAAGTATCGTGTTGTATCTTATTCCACTCATAACATGTCTGCTGATATCTGTAGTCGCATTGAGTGTGGCATATGGGATTCGGCTTTTGAATCGATACCGGAGAAGATATCGTTATTGCTTACCAGTAAAAGAGTTACGTAAAATACCTGAAACTTTATTTGTTAAAGGTAAGTTATTCTGTTGATGTTTGTATGTACGAAAAGCAACCCACCTACGTTATTTATTCACTTGGTGATACGGTTAGAAGTCGGCTACATCTTGGGTTTTTTCGTACAATAATAGAAGCGAATATTTGCTGCATTAGGGTCAAACAGTGGGATAGATGTCTGAATTAAAACAAGATTGTCATTCCCCTAGTTTTGGGCATAACTAACAAGAAATTTGTTTTTATATTCAATCTTTTCAGAGTCTGTAATTTCATTAAGCGGAACTTATTTTTCGAGTCTTTTTTCAAGCAAATTATTCAGTTACAAAATATGGAGGTTACTAATTATCTGGACTGATAAATAAATATTTAATCAACTTCTTAATGCATAAGTAATAAGTACAACCTTTATTTAAGTAATGTTAACCTCCAAAACTTTGGAAGGTTTATGAAATCACTAATTATAAAATGGAATACAACGTCATCAATGTTTTCATAAAATCTCTTCAACTGTATGTTTTTATTATGCCTAATAGGCCAGTTGATAGTTCTTATCGTGTTAGAGGAGATATGTTTTTCGAGAAATATTAATTCACCATACTTTTAGTATTCCACCTTTCAGAACCATTATCCAGTCACTTAGGCTTTTTACACCTACGAACTTATTTTGTAATTAGTTCAGATCTATATAACCTTCTATGTTAATTCCCCGTAAAACTTATATCCGTTTTTACATATTTATCAATTTTCCTTTTTAAAAGTATAAAAGTTTGTAACTAGAAGTCGCCTAATTAAATATCGACATTTTAGGCTAGTTTTCTACATGTAGATTTTGTGAATAAACTTACCAAATGCAGTGTTTTTCGTTATGGAATTAATCAATATAAAATATTCAACCTTGCTTCTGTTATAATATTTGATTAGTGAAAAATGTATAAAATCGTTAAGCTTTTGTTGTGCAATAGGCAACGTAGCTTACTTGATAGTAGTTTAGCATAGCAAACATTGGATGGTGATTTTGAGACGCTGTTGATAAGGGAACTTTTATTCATATTCATAGATACATGAATTTGGGAAGCAAAAATGAAACCATCCTACTGTTAACTTCGGTGTACTGTAATCATTTTACTGATTGGCATAACTATACTGATATTCATTCGCATCGGTTTATTTAAATTATCCAAGACCGAATAAATACGACTATTGTGAAACTAGAATTTTTTCGTTATGGAGCATACATTCACTTTTTTTTACATTCTTTATGTAGGATTTTATTTTACTATTCACCATCAGTTATAAAAGTAATTATTTTGTTGCTTACACATTTAAGATTTTACCCTTCTTACTGCCTCAGTACTTTCCCGTTTATTATGATGAATTTTTCTAGACTCCAGTGAATTCGAAACTTGTGCAATTTGTTTAGAAGATTATAAAGATGGTGATAAATTGAGAGTATTACCATGTGGGCATGGTAAGTGAATAATCATTTACATGAAAAATTGCATCTTTTCATAGCTTCTTTTCTTAATACATAAAATGTATCATGTTACTTTTCTTCTTTACAACTATGAATTATAAGAAAATGTTGGTCACAAAAATAAAGCGATGACATCTCGAGGAAATTAAAGAAAAGAAGGGGAATACGATGACTAAAGAAGAAATACAATTAACTAAAGTTGCAACTAAAAGTTCTTTCAATTAAAGGCATTCCTCTCACTTTCAAGAGGAATATAAGAAATAGAACAGAATCGTCAGTGGCTTCTACCCTAACCCGTGTCTGATAACGTCTCAAGTCATTAAATTCTATCATCTCTATAGTAGCTTGAAAAATGCCAGTCATATGCAGCTTTCATACCACGGCAGACAGTTTAAAAACTGTCTACCCCACTTTTCAAACCCTGACTCAGCTCCGGCATATAATGCACACTCTGGAAACCTGTGTAGTGATATTCGTAAAACATGTTCAAGCTAGCAAACTCAGTGTTTCAATATGGTGACATTAATTTAGTTATGATCATTGCACTTGAACATACATTGCCAAGGGTCAGTATTACTAACCTGTTATCACTGGGTGGAAACAAGCTCATGGAGACAACAATCATTTGATACAGAGTCGTGGAGTGTGACGGAAGCCAGTAGTTTGGATCTAACTGAGAGTGGACTTATCCTCCGATAGTAATTGCGCAGATTACTTTGGTCCTTTCCAGGATGGAGACGATATTATAACACCACCTCTTCCTCAACCCTTTGAAAGCAACTCAGTTAGTCCTCTGACCAGAATCTCACTTCCATCTGTACTTCTGTACCGATACTTATCGTAGCTTTTCTGTGTACTTTCAACGAAAGCAACGCGGTCACTTATTTCATTTATTGTCTATTATTAATCTAACAGCACATAACCGACTGTTAATGTGGATCCAATCGATTAGTGCTGCCTCAGCTCTAGCGCTTAGTGCGACACCAACGCCAGCAAGACCAGACGAAGTTGCTACAGGGTCCCCGGATAAGCGCACGCAAAACAAGCCCTTTGAAGCGACAGATAGAGAGCAATCTTGTAGTACTTCACCAGAGTCTTCAATATGGGCCTAGGACATCGATATTAAGACTTTCTTAAGACACAGCCAGCCCTGTCTCTTGTCCGATCTGCATTAATGTGCGAAAGTTGAAGGCAGCTAGTTTGAATGGTGCACATGGTTTCAGAAAAACTGCTTCAGTATTCGTATTCGGTGGTAGCATTCAATTTCCGACCAGGCAGTGATTCGAGATCGTTTAGATAGAACAAAGTTTCTACCATGGGCGAGCTGCTGCATAAGTTGAAAAATAAGGATACACAAGGTGGGAATAAAAGAGTGAATAAGTGACGTGGTAAAAGGTAATAATAATAATGTGAATTGCTTGACTGTTAATCGAAGCGTGAATAGTGTTTTCAGTAGATATCGTCATTTCGTTCTATTTGTGTGTGGGCTGTGATACTCCTCGGGTACTCAGACCAAAGCCGATGGTTTTCTTAGGAGACCACACCCCAGACCCCGGGTCTGACCTACAAGGCAGTGGAGCGTCGTGAGGAGATGCAGTCCCATAGTAGCCGGTGACCAACAATTGGTTCATACGCCATTATTTCCTTCAGGATACTGGAGCCCATGTGCGACATTGGTTTGAAATCAGGGTTTCCCGACTCCCCTAGCTGGACTCACCTCGTCCACCGGCCCGGTCCAAGCGCCGGACATTCGCTTTTCGTCCTCTCGATTTTGTAAACAACACCCCTGCCACGAGAAGGCAGTGAGTAAGACTTCTTTGGCAGATGCTGTATACGCGTGGCTGTGTGAGAGCATTTCGAGAGGGAGAGCTGACTCCCCACTCTCGGCCGTACTAGGGCATTTGGGGGCAGGCGGGCTATAATCACTGTAATATGAATTCGGTTGCTTTGTAAGACTTGATTCGTAGCGCGACAAATAATTCTCTACATTATTACTAAGTAGTTTTTAGAGCCATAACGGCATTTTGTTTACTCCTGTTTAAGTATACGTTGTTCACTGTAATCATGATTTGTGTACCTTTTAAAGTATGATCCGTGAAATTTTTTGTCTACAATATTTTTTGTACAGATGTCGAGAAGTTTTAGTTTTAATCTCAAGTTCTAGTTCCAAATATCTTCACGCTTTTGAAGCTTCTCGATGTAAAACTGTAGTTGTAGTTGGCAGTATTTTGGCAAGTAGTAATGTTTGATTATCAGGAAACGTTGTGCCTAAAACTTCCACTCGTTAGTGTATTCTAATCAATGAGTATTTTCATCTTCACTTCAAGCATAAAATCTAAATAGTCAAAGCTCTAAAATAAAAGTGGTTATTACTGAGCTTTTCGCGTGACCATTGACTTATTATAGATCTAGACTAAACAAGATTTCTCATCTTCCATTTGATATCTCAATTACTGATAGAAATGTTTCTACGAATAGTCCTGTAATAAAAAGATCACTACCCACTGAAAATGGTGTTATATGTTTCTGTATAGTCGTTAGAGAAGTTGTGAATATGAGTGCTTTGTTCGTCAATTATAAATTTGGTCAACAGATTTCCATTCATTACCAAGTTACTAATATTTGTTTACTAGTTAACGCATTAATAGCATTTGAAATTTCTGTTCATTTACTTTAAAACCGTTCTATTCTTCTTAAAGCTTACCACAGTAAATGTGTAGATCCGTGGCTTTTAAAACGTCGTGGTTTTTGTCCTATATGTAAGAAGAAAGTTCACAATCGTCCTAGAGTCTACATTTCAACTTCTACAAGATATAGACGCGCTTCTGCATATGCCACTACATCTGAAGCTCCACTTTTGGATGATTCGTCTTTCGAAGAAGATTCTGATTCAGAAGATACTACTTCATCACCTCAGTTAAGTTTCTACAGTGGGAACGTCCATTCAGATGAACATACTCCGCTTATTAATGCTTCTGTTGAGCAATCAAGTGCTTCATCACTTAGGCGAATGAAGATGACTACCTCAATTCGTGAAACCTTGGAAAGCTTTCTGACAAATGTATCAAGTTCTTATTCCAGAGGTCATAATTCATCCGACTATGAACAGGGAACTAAAGTTAATACAGCTGTGGAATTACAACCTGAATGTTCTCAGATTGTCGCTGAATCCCTCGTAAAAGGTTAATTTTTTTTGTTTTTTGAGGGAAAATTTTGGGTTGAACTTTGTTCAGTGATCTCAAAAAATAAATCTCAGGTTCGATGTCATATTTCGTAATTAGGAACAACTTAAAATATCAATAAGAAATCTGAGTAAACCCTTCCATCTCACATATTTATCATTTTGTTCATTTGACTTGTATTATTGATGGGATAATAACAGTAAAATACTCTCTTGAGTCAATACATGTATTTATTTATATTATACAAATCTCAGCATAGAATATTCAGTATTGGGATAAGTTGTTGTTTTGTACCCACTTAACTTGGTAATGTTCAAGAATATGTTTCTATAAAATTTTTTAACAGTGATTAGCTGTCAATCATCACATGCAAAGTTCTTCGAATATTTATGCTTCGAAAATATTTTTATCGTATACTGTATTTATTGTTAAAGTTTCGAAGTAAACGTCTATTACTTGCTCAATTAGTAAACACGAAAGAAAATAGACCAAATGTTGTGATATTTCTTTTTGGATTTTTAATTACTAAGTATCTTAAGAGGTTTCAAGTTTTTTTATATGAAAGCACATGGTTTACGTACATAATTATTTAGTTAAAATGTATGTAAAACAAGATAATTTATTCTCACAGTTTAAAAAGATAGATGCCCCGTTGATTTGAGTTAGTTGTGACATCAGAATCAGTGAATGTAAATGTTATCTTTCGGTAAATTTATAAACATCTCATCTTTCATGAGTCAAGAATTGTTCAGGGATCATATATTAATAACGTGTTTGTACTACCGATAGGTTGTCGTTTAAAAAAATCTAAGTGTCTTATCTTTAAATTGATCATGAATTATTCTATTACCCACACATACAATTCCATATATCACAGTTGAATGTATTGTACTGAAAACAATGGTTGTATATGTTAAGATTTGTTCATTACACAAACATGTGAAACATTTTAACAATGTATTGATTTAAAATCAATGGTAAAAGTTCTTTTTTTTCTTTTCTCGATCACTTGATGTTAATTATTTAGTTGAATAGTTCATGTGAAAAACACCGTTCTTGTTGTTTATGCGAAAGTATTTCTTACTTAAACCATTTTCTTCATTCGTTCTACGAATTGTCCTAGAATGTAAAATAAATAAATTCCATTCAATTCTTGTATAAACCGATCTTTATACTACTAGGTAATACTGTAATTCTTAATTACTTTCATCCTTAATCTTATTTTTATGGATTGATGTAAAATCAAAATAAGAATTCTTGTTTCTAAACATTTACCGGTTCGAAGAAAATTGTAATAGAAATTACACCTAAAATATTTAAAATCTTTTTCATAAAACTACTTTTATTTTGAGTGTGTATCTACGTCGAGTTGGATTTCTCGATGTTTCTTTGGAAGGCCCCAACCTATGGAGTTAACAGTCCCGTCAAAAGGTAATTTTGTACCAAGATTGTATTTTGATCACTCGATGTCACATACTAAACGATTGAATAACATTTCTTCATAAACATGGTTTCGATCGCATGGGAAGTAGTGTCTACTTACTACAGATAAGTCATTGTTGATATGAGACATCTGTTCGCTGTTTCTTACTGTTTATTGGCTTTCTAGATAATATTAGTTTGTCATTATAATTCGACCACTATGAGTATTTTGGCATCAACATACTATTTTCCTCACTGCTACATATTTTCTATGGATTAATTAAACTTCATCTAGTTCTATAACTGAAGAAATGTTTTCATCACCTTTCTTTGATTGGACCTGCAGTCAACTTAGCACGAAATAAAAATCATATAGTACCTGACAGTTGTTTCCTTTAGATATATGAGATCATCCCCAATTATGTAGTAGTATGGTAATTGTGTGGTATAAATGAAATAATAATATTTTATTCAATATTGAATCTGAGAACTATTAAACTAGTTACAATATTAGTTCTTACCGTTAGATTTTTTGCTTTCACTGGTTCATTAGCAGATATTGTAATGAATGAACACTCGGCTGAGGAAGACCAATCCACTATTTGGTACGAAATTACAAAGCATCTTCTTAAAATATGAAAACCATACATAAGATGCTTCATTTGCAAATCATATATCAGTTGTCCTTCACATTCTGTATGATTCTTCCAATCCACAATTCCTTCCTATTTCCCTTTTTGTTTTCCTCAACTCGATCTTCTTAACCTTCTGCTGCCAGATTTTTCACTTCCGATTGGTGTTACATATTACTTATGTCGACAGATATAAGTAGCATGCACCACACTCGTTCACCCTTTAAACAGTCGCTTTTGCGGTTGTTCTGCTCGCCGTGCCACCTTTGCTGTAATCTGTGCCACGCTTCCCGTTGAAACATCGAGTCCGCCGGTATGCAGACCTCCATAGCAATACTGACATAAGTAGCATACACTACAATATCACTTCATAATATAAACTGTATTTGATCCACTAATAAACTTAATAACCTACTTAGCGCTATGTTGTTTCACTATTTACTGCCTTCATGGTATATGCATGGTATATACAAACATTGTTCTTCACGAATAACATCCATATTCTTTTTTGATAATGATAGTTCATTAGTTTGAATCATAAATTCTGCTCTAATCCTTAATTCAGCTTAGCTATCACAAGTTATCACACATTTATTTTGATGATTTCTAGCTTCATAGCACATAAGGCTTTTCAAAGTTACTTTATATTATTTCCATGAAATATCTTCTTTATCCTTTCTATTTTGTTGTATTTTCTCATCAGGTAAACAGTGTAGTGAAAGTGACACTGATTCTGGACCAAATAATGAGATCAATGATGGTCTGTCACCTTCAGTAATGATTACTCATGTTGAAGTGCATACGGATTGTGATTTATTATGTATGCACAAATCTCATGCTTAAGCAGTATATATATATATATCCTGTTTTCATTTGTTCGTCTAAACCATTTTATTTTTGCACAATTCACAATGATGAATAGTAATAAAATTGTGTTATCAAAACCAATAAGTTTCAAATACTGGGCTATTTTTTTCTCTCACTTATTTTTATTATCCTTTTTTTTTCTACTGAAAATAATAAAAAAATTAAACCGTTATCAGTTGATTTAATTTTCTTATATACGTTTGCATAATTAATGAGTGATGTGTATATTTTTATCTCCTTTGTCGATGGACTACTTGGTTAGTTTAAATGGTTGATTAATCAATTGAACATTCAGACAATTGTATATATATATATATATATATATATATATATATATATATATATATACTTGGAATATTGTTCGGTTATTTATGCATTGCGTAACTATTGTGCTTGTTTATTTGTTTGGCTGTTTCATCCTATGAGATTTAGTTTGTTAGCATCATCATAATTCATTTCTTATAATTATATATATATATATATATATATATATATATATATATATATATATATATATATATATATATATATATATATATATATATATGTATATATATATTTGGCCGTGTATAAATACGATTTCACTGTACTGAAATGTATAACCTGGTTTAATTAACATTATTATACGTTAATTTTCTTACCGGTCAACTGATTACAAATTAGTCTATTACTCATAAAGAATTAGATAATATATTATTTTTTGATCTCTTTTTATCATTTACCTTATTTTTTACGAGCTTGTTTGGAATAAAATGAAGTATTTTTATCTATAGAGTTGTGTTTGTTATTCACTGACTGAAGACGATAGTTGTTTGGACTAGAAATTGCTTTATAATACTTTAGTAATATATTTTGAAATAATCAATTTAGAGATTTCGCTAGTTGTAATTTCGAGGCAACAGATAAAATAGTTCCAGTTTCGTAATATATCTGCCATTTGTAGCACTATGAAGAGCCAAGTATAATTGTTATTAATAATCAACAGTCTTGTCAATTGATTTCTGTGCATTCAGGTTCAATTCTTATTTACATCATACAACAGAGTAGGTAATGGATAGGGATTCGTAATTATTTGCCAATCATCCATTTGACTGTACTCACACACTTTCTTAGACAGCTACATTTTTATAAAAGAATTGTCTGCATTAGAGTAGTCTAGTTTTTACAACTAAATATCTGATCAAAATAATTTTTAGTGGCGACATATATCAAATGTCACTTTGCGATTAAGAATTTCATCAAACTTTGTCCTCATATCTCGAAGGATTACCAGTTTTGAGATTACTTCAATGTTATATTTTCACTAATATGTTAGTGCTAACTAGTATCCTATAATTAGATTGCAGTACTAAGTTTAACTTCTTGCGAACCCAAATTCATCCGTATTGTAAATGCAACAACCGTAGTTGCTACCTTGGGGTGATGGTCGGGCTAGCTTATCGTGATGACTCAACCTAGTTATGTTGGCTGTAACACATGCTCCTTCAGGTCCTACCATGCCAGGCAGATTGGTTTGAGAATGGTGAGACTAAAATAAGCAACTAAAGGTTCGAGAGCAACGTCGTACTGCTGACTGTTGAGGGGTTCGACAGTGGTAAGATGTTTCCCTCGAACAAGCAGCATCCGCAGCGGAAGAACAGGGCTAACCCTAGAAATATTACACCTCACCTTACCTCGGGTTTTGGTCTCCGGTGGTAAGTTTTATTGAAGTGCGGACCTAGCACGTTAAAAAGGTCCAAAAAATTTCATGCGTAATTGGCCTCAAGCTGCTGTTCCTGAGGTTCTGTGGTCATGCTCTCAGGTCGCCGTGACCACAACTAATTCAGCTTTTTGTCAGATCTTTGAAGAAGAAATATCCTTTCATGACGTGACAATCACTCATACTTTTATCAGCATCTTTTTCACGACCAAATCACTCATTCGCTTCTTAATAATTCTTTCATCCCAATCACTAACCCTTTTCGTATATCTTCATCACACTCCACGAATGCTAGTGCTTTGGATCCATGAAATTTTATTCCTGGTCTTCTGACAAAACATCGTAAAGGCGTTTAGGCGGACCTTATGGTGTTGCAGCTTAGTGAAAAAACTCCACAATCGGCTCAGAAATGATCTGAAAAGATCATATTTTCATCAGCGATCTTCGGAGAGGCTCGGTACAAGACTTTTTCATTCTGGAGTACATGTTAAGACTCGGATCATGCCACAGTTCGAGCATTTATTTGTCTGCATCTTACTGGACAACAAGAAAATCCCTTATACCCCAAATTAATAACGAAAATGTTAAAAATACATTTCAGAAGCAACTGTAGGAATTAGTCGACCATGAATATAATATTGACCCCGAGGTAACTTAGCATGGTATCGAAAAGCCGTGAAAGCATCAATGGCATCTACTCATAAATTAAACCAAACGGTTAAGTAAAATCAGTGGATTTCATCGTGATCTACAGAACTGGAAGATGCTTGGGAACTCATCCCATCTGGCTCTTAACATGAGGAGCGGATGCTGCTTAAACATGGGCGCATAGAAATTTTACTTAATAATCGTAGGGAGTGGTAAGTTAAGAATTGAGAAATGGTGAAGACAATGATGATTAGTAACAGTAAACAACTGATCAGTCTGACCAAGGAAACCGGTATTAAAATTCGATTGTTAGTGAAAGTATCTCAGTTATCCGCTATCTCTAAGCAACCTTAATGGCAAAATGATGTAAGTCCCCTAACTCTTGGCGAAATTGAAAAGGCTATAAGTAGTCTAAAGCGAGGTAGAGCAGACTCTGGAACATAAACATACTTTTGATATCCGATAGTAGTTGTATTCTTTATCCTTAGAGCACCATTCGACTCATGAGGTTATGTAGCAATCAGTCACTGGAAGACGTACCAACGAAGTACATTAACGTTGTACATGCCCTCTACTCGAACACTACTAGTCGAGTAAGAGCTTATGGCAAACTGTAGTCGGAATTAGTTATTTCAAGTGTTCGTTAGAGTTCTTCACTTTGCCCATTTTTATTTAACGTGATCATAGAAATGCTATGAGAGATAACACTTTCATCGTCTGACTCATCAAAGATTGATCATCTACCAAAAGATTCACTTGTTGACTTAGATGATATAGTTCTGTTTGTTGAAGACACTGACAAAATGCAGTCTCTTGATTAACTTAAGCAACAAAGCAAGCATGTTTTTGATGCATTTGTCTCCCTCCAAATTTAAAATGTTACTTCAGAGTTGACTTACGTCAGTGCCTGAATTAGTGACAAGGAATGAAGTAGTTGAACTCACCGACTGCCTCACTTATCTTGAGATTCTCATCAGTCCTGAAGGTCTGGCGTTTGATGAAATCTCCGCACGGATTCAGAAAGCTCGACTGGCTTTTACCAACTTACTTACGGGGTATATCAGTCTACCAACCAAAGGAAGAGATTGTTGTGCAGAAGTCCGTTCTACTCCATGGGTGTGGAACATGGTCATCAAGAATGGGCGATTTTCGGGGATTCTTCGAAGCAGTGCTCATGTGTTTAGGAACCACGGAGTTGGTAATCCCCAAGTTAAGAAAACGGTACTAAGTATGGCAAATCAGTTGATGAGATAGTAAATCTTCATCGGTTAAGGTGGTTGGGAAATTTATTACGTATGCCCAACCACCGCGTACATCGAGGAGCGGTGTTATCTGGTTTAGAAGTAGAGTGTAAGAAAGCTAGGGTTCCGAATCAAAGCATAACATCAGTCGAGAAAATCACTGACAATCGGAATAACCCATGATAATTTGTGTAGACTACATGGCTTAGGTCTACATGGTTACTATTTGGAATTTTTATCGTGCATATTTCGCTCACTGGTACATCCCATATGTTTAGTTTGCCTATATATATTGTTGAATAGAAAGTCTCCCCAAAACTGCTTCCACGAGTTACTGTTGAGAAGTTATCATCTGCTGCTGTAATGGTGACTGCAATTTTTCCGAAGAGAGTGCCATTTTCACTGCTAGCATTATTGTTTTTGCTATGTCAATTGTGATGACTTGTGCCGCTGAAAAAATTGCCAATCAGAATACTGACTTATATGACCTAGTTCCCGTGTTAAAACATTGATATCTCAACCGTACTATCAGTCTTGCGTCAAATCTGAATCCTCATTGGTCCTCAATATTGTAGTTTCTCACCTAGCCCTACCCGTTGAAACCAGAGAACAATATTCGCTTCTACTATATGGATAATCCACATAGTTTATATACAGGCAGACTAGACCTCATAACACCTCGAAACGAAAAATTACAGTTAAACCAGATCAAGCCAAAAGTGGCTGTGAATATGAGAGACGATAACTAATAGATCGTGAATAAGCTTAAAACAATAAATCATATAACTGTACCTAATAGGTCAAATGAAGACATATGGTAAAAAAATGAAAATGTATACAATCTAGTTACCTTCAAAGAATATATATATATATATAAAAGTCCATAAACAATTCCCGGATGCAACCATTCATTTAATCTTTTACGGATACAACTATTATCGCCCATACTTTTTCTATCTCTACTACTCTGGGATTTTACCTGACCATGTCATCTCTCTTTGCTAATGGGGTTATCAGACAGAAGCTCATTAATGACATTAGGTGCGTGATAAATCTTCTCAACAAGGAAAAAAACATCGATAGGTCCTGGGTTCAAATCTCGCGAGGCGGGACCAGGGATGCGCACTACTGAGTCCCACAATAGGACGAAAAGGCTGTTCAGTGCTTTCACGTTTTCCATGATAGTCTAACTTTAAGTGACTGGTAGATCGAAATATGTATAAAGTGTATGAGCTGAAAATGCATAAAAATCCACAAAGCACTGGTTGTATTGTTTTATAGAATGAACAGAAATATGTGGCTGTATGATTAGTAGATTTTGGTCAACTGAGCAAATTATTTAGTCGAATTTTATATAGTTGTCTTAAGACGATATTATGACTTCTCGT